AATACATATGAGCTATCAGGCACTGGGTCCAATGCTTTAGTTACATTATTTATAATGTCACAAATTACCATAGAATTTCAGAGATGAGGAAAATGAGGGTAGATGATGAAGGTGAGCTGGGGATAATAAATAAATCAGAAATCTGACTTCTAGGTATAAACTTAAATAAAAAACATTAGCACATAAAAATCAGAATGAAAACCCAACATGATCTCACATTGTCTTTGAGTAAATAAATGGCCCCAATACTACACTGTTGTTCATTCCTACTCTACTTAGTAATGAGATGGCAACTGTACTAGATGATCAGGTCATTCATCCCAATCAAGTTTTCTTTCATTCACAAAACATGGCAATTTAGAGTAGATCTTAGAAGATTATTTACAAAACATGTACCAAGTATTTACATGGGACAGGTAAATAGTTCAGTACTTTGAGAATTGTGTCTTCACGCACCTCTCAGTCTGAAAAAAAAGATAATGGTTTAAATATGAATACAAATAACTATAATGCAGGATAGAGAGTAATATAGTTTTCAAAAACTGAAAGAAATGTGATATGGGAACTCAAAAAGAGTATTTCTAGATGAAGGGATGAGGGAAGGTTTCAGAGAAATGACAGTTAAGTTGGGACTAATTATGGAGGCAATACTACAAATACTGTTTTCAGGAAAAAAAATCATAAAAAAAAACCAAAAACAAGTAGGCAGTTGTTATAAGGCAGTTTATTTATGATTAAGTATCAAGGAGCAGAACAGACAAGAATGGATATTAAAGAATCACTGACGAAGTAGGAAAAATTTTGCTGTGGAAGTCAGAAACTAAAGTAGAAATTAAAGGAAGACAAGTTTAGATGGGAGGGAGATAGACAAGACATTTAAGATGAAAGGAATAGAAAATAAGTTTTTAAAAAGATTTCTCAGGCTTGGCCTCCATAGCTTAATTATTTGGGGTCTGGCCACATACACTGAGGCTGGCGGGTTCAAGCCCAGCCCAGGGCTGCTAAACAACAATGACAACTGCAACCAAAAAATAGCCAGGCATTGCGGTGGTCACCTGTAGTCCCAGCTACTCGGGAGGCCGAGGCAAGAGAATTGCTTAAGCCCAAGAGTTTGAGGTTGTTCTGAACTGTGACGCCACGGCACTCTACCAAGGGCGACAAAGTTTTCTCAGTGCCTGCCACCGTGTATGTTAACATATATTTGATAAACGAATTATATATATATATATAATAAGATAATATATTTTACATATTAAGAATATAT